ATGTTTGACACAATTAAAGCATTCAAATGTCAACTAGTTCTTTGGGAAAAACAACTTAAAAATGAAGATTTGACGCACTTCCCGACGTGCAGCATGAACAAATCAAGTTTAGATGATACTTGTTCGTATCAAAAATACGCAGAAAAAATTGCAAATTTAACAACTGAATTTGAAACGAGGTTTAATGATTTTAGTTCCCTCGAAGACAAATTTTTTTTGTTTTCTTAGATTTCTCAATAAATATTGACTCAGTACCCAGCCATATGCAAATGGAGGTGATCGAGATTCAATGCAACTCAAATTTGAAAGCAAAATTCATTGAAGTGGGTGTGCCTGAATTTTACAAATATTTACCAGCCAGGTTTGAAAATACTCGAAAATTCGCATATGAAATTATTTCCATGTTTGGTAGCACTTATCGGTGCGAGCAGTTATTTTCAGTCATGAAAGGTAATAAGTCTCCTATTAGAAACCGTATTAATGATGCTCACCTTGGGTCAGCGTTGAAAGTTATCACTGCAAACAAAACTTCTCCCGAAATAGGAAAGATAATAGCAGAGAAGAGATGTCAAGTATCAGGACGTAAACATTAAATTTTTCTTGTTCTTTTCTATATAAATATATATTAAACTCAATTTATTCTTTTGAAACATATACGTTTATTATTGTATTATTCGAAATAAATCTACGTTTCTATGAATATTGATTTTGTTTTTGTGGCCCGCCTAAAGTTAAACATTGTTTGTTTGGCCCAAGTGTACCTATGAGTTTGACATCCCTGGTGTACAAGATGCCGCAATTTTTGAAATTATAGGAGTGGATCTTGCAGGTCCTCTTATTCTCAAAGGAGGAAAAAAGGCTCGGATTTTGATCCTGACTTATCAGTATATCTCCGATTGCTAACCTCAATCTCCACTAAAAATTTTATTTTTGGTTTGAGGAGATTTATAGCACGTTGGGGAAGACCAGCAGTCATTTACTCAGACAACGGTTCTAATTTCAAAGGCACTTCTTAGAGAAATTTAAGAACATAGAGGGGCTAAATCCAATCACATGGAAATTAATACTTCCTAACGCCCCCTGGTGGGGAGGCGCCTGGGATAGGCTGATTGGACTGAAGAGAATTTTAAGGAAAACTTTAGGCAAAATGTCTGTGAATCATGAAGAAATTAATACAGTTCTATGCAATTGTGAAAAATTTATAAATTCAAGACTGCTGACTTATATTTCGGAAGATCCCAAAGATAAGGAACCTCTGACTCCTGCTGTGTTCTTACAAGATATTAAAAAAATCGGCGTACCCGAGTTTGACAACATTGAGGCAAACACATTAAAGACGAAATTTGCATATCGTGTTACGAGTGAAAAAGGATTTAAGAAAGAGTTTTAGAACTGAGTATCTAGGGCAACTGAGAGAAGCATATAAGGTAAAAAGAGAAAGTATTTTAAATGAAGGAGACATAGTTTTGCTGGGAAATGATCATACCAAAAGACTGAACTGGAATTTAGAGTGAATACTGAAACTTTATCTTGGAAAGGACCATTGGGTTAGAGTAGCTCTTGTAAAAACAGCATATGGTTCCTTTTTACGTCCTGTGCAAAAATTGTTCCCTTTGTAATTACAAGAAAAGGAAAAAACATCTTTGTGCCCTACTAACTTTCCTTTGCTTTCAGATTCTAATGGAATACATTATGTACCCTCTAATTTTCAGATTCTAATGGAATACATTATGTACCCTCTAATTTAGACCCAGGTACAGAAGGACTACCAAAGGAGGGGAACACTTCATGCCAATTCTGTTCCAATGATGGAACTGTGCTGGAGAGAAGAACTGTTGCCTTCAGAGTATAAAACCAACAACAACAACAACAACAACAACAAACAAAAAAAAAAAAAAAAAAAAGGCTACCTAACAGTTTAGTTTTACCCAGAAGTTGCTTAAAACTTAAAGTTAGGAGTGTCAAAAATGGCTATAAAGAAAAAAATTATAAAGCAAATTAATAAACAGTCATTAGATGACACACGACAAAATGTTATGACTTTAATTTTTGCTATTAACTTTTGGCAACAAGAATGAACAAACGGCTTTGTAGATAGAAGAGATGTTAGATGTTCGGCTGTATTTCTAGTGTTTCTGTATATCTTAACATTGAATTATTATGAAATTGAAAGTTTTTTTTTTTCTTCTTCTTAAGATTTAGCATTAATTGATTAATTTTCAAAAATAGGAATCGGCGAGCTCAAATCCGGGAAACACTTTGAAAGGAACAAAGGTAAGTGAAACCTTTTTCCTTGGATTTTAGATTGTAGAACTTAGAAAACTTAGAATTTATCATATAGAAAGTTTTCTGGTGCATCTATATGCACCAGAAAACAAATACAGATGCACCAGGAATGTGACAGACAGCCAACTAAATACACACCAAATTATTTTACATTTGCACATACTGCTATTTGTTGGGGCCCAAATATTGAATTTTGAAGCTACATAGTGCAGTGTAGCACTCTAAATATATGAAATGATTCTGGTCATGTTGTGACACTGGGTGCATTCATGTATCTATCTTTTTTTTTTTTTTTTTTGGTTGTTTACGTGTTAAGTTTGAGGTTTTGCCAAAATCTTGCAGTCACAGTACACTGTTGAAATGGTCATATGTAAAGATTCATCACTTTTACCTCTAAAATGCTATAATCCATCTTGCAAGTACCAATCATTACACTACATTAAAATAAATAAATAAATAAATAAATAAAAAAAGAAAAAAAAGAAAAATAGAACTAAACAGGTTCATTTTCCATTCTTACAGTAGAATCATCTCTAGAAGTCTATTTTCACATGTAGTGGCAATAAATGACAGGCATAGGTGGTACTGTTATATACAGAGGTTGTTTACACAGTTTTAAAATGATTTCAATAACGAATTAAAAAAAAAAAAAAAGCATATGTTTTGAAATACAAATTTTTTGCAACAGCTTATTATTTGAAGTGAGAGATACTGTCTGCTACTTTTAAATATAATATATATATATATATATATATATGATGTACCAGCTTTTGTCCGGAATAAATAGATTGGTGAAGAAATATAGTAGATGTAGTCGTAGCTTAAATTATCAGACAATAAGTTTAAAAAACAGGAACCATTTATTATTGGTCAGGAGAAATACCAGTTACAAAAATCATATTTCTGGAGTAAATCGAAAAAAATTACTAATAACTTTTTGTATGAAGTTTACTGCATCGTTACATTTAAGAAAAAGACCCCAATATTCCTTTGCGATTCCTTTTATAGCCTCTGGAAAGGCGGAGCTTCCAAGAAATGATGCCAGCCATTCCATTTCGCTTTAAATATCTCCAGAACATTCTATAACTGTACATGTAGAAAAGGCGGGAAAAACAACTTGACTACGGGGCTGTGGATTTAATTCCACGTACTTTCAAATAAGAGACCATCACCATTAAAAATGAAAAGTACATACAGTTAGAATTTTAAAATGTATTCTTGACTATGGAATTTTATTATTACATATATATATATATATTTTTGAAAATGTTGAATGTGAACACGTTGTGGATTGAAGGATAAGTTTTTTTTCACTCCTCAATTCCTATTCCACATTCCAAAAATGTTCTGAAATGCATGGTATTCAAATTTCCAAGTGAACTATAAACAACATTATTAATCGAAAAAACAACCCTCATTCATTATTTTTAGATGGCAAGGAGATTTTTAGATATACTGTTTCTATTGAAAATCATTGGTAGCAAGAGAAAATCTGCTGATGCAGTAATCAATAGCAAAGTCTTTAAATACATCTGCACCAATGACAAATAAAACAATAAACAACTTGAAAAAGCTGAAAAAGATAATCTTCACCAGCTTTTTTCAAGACAAATGGCTTAATGCAGAATAATTTGTAGAACCATTAAGAAAACAATTTAGCAGGGGGGATGAAGTACATTGTGACTTTCGATGAAGCATGGATTTACCTAAATGACTGCAACAACAACAAAAAAAGAGGTGTATTTATTATCGAAAACAACAGAGCTGTAGCTAGAGCTTCCAGCACCTGGGGACAATTAAAAATTTTTTGCCCCCCTTCTAAAAATTTCTTAACCTCAGTTTGCCAAAGGGGAATATCTGTTCCCAAGTAGATGCTGTACCTGGGAACAGATGTTCTCCCTTTTCCCTCCTTCAATATACGTCCCTGGAAATCAAAATGAACAAACCTAGTTCTATCAATGCAAAGAAAGTTGCAATAAGGTGTTTATGATCATTGCAGGATTCTCTTACAATGAAGTTAAAAATAAGAAGAGAGGGAAAAAAGTGATAAAATCATTTCAATATACAATCAAGAGAAAGTTTTACATCCGAAATTTGTAGAAGAAATTCCTTTTCTTTATCTTGATGATTTTCAAAGATGAAACTTCATCAAGATAAAGTAACAAGTCATACTTTGAAAAGTACTACTGCATTTCTGGAAAAATGAAAACTGATATAGGGTTACGCATATATAATTCTTCAACGTATCCCTGTAAAGTCTCCTAATGTTTCGCCTATGGATTATTGTGCCTCTAGTCTCTTGAAAAGAGTTCTTTCTAAATGCAAACTCACAACTATAAATGGATTCTGAAAGTAGTGGAAAAGGAATGGAAATCAACAAAACCGGGAATTTTATGAAAAGCCTTTCTATCAAGGAAACATGATACAGACTTATAATCCAGAAAAAAGGCTATCAGATAAGACATTAAAAAAAATCCTCTTTACATTTTAAACATTAATTAAATGGTTCTGAAATTTCTCTAAAAATATGTAAACACTCTCTGTATTTTACATAGGCTCATCTGCATCAATTTTACAGACATTTTAAAGCATAAATATTAATTTTTTGGCACATTTTTACTATTTTATGTTTGACTTCAAAGTTTTACAATAATACAACTGGTAAAAACAATTGTTTAAATACATTTCAAGAACAAAGCACATAAATAACTTACTGCAGTTGAATCCACATCACTATGTATGGCTACTGTCTTTATACCCATCTGTCTACATGTTCTGATAATTCGACATGCTATTTCCCCTCTATTTGCAATAAGTATTTTGTCAAATTTCTATAATAAGAAAGTTGGATTATAGACGTCATATATTAAAACAATGAATTTCTTTCAACATATTAGTTTACAGCATGAAAATGCAGTTTTTAATAACAGTTCTGTATTACTGATTTATCAAAAAACTTGCTATTTTCATATCTTTTTTTCAGAATAGCTTATAGAAAAAATAAGTATTTTGACTAATTGAATTATAACAAAATTAGGTCAACTCTTAATTTAGTAAGAACAGGCAATTATTGATGCACAAGCAGCATAAAATTTAAAAATCATATATGAAAAGGATAAGATGATCAAGAAATAAATAAATGAAAAATCATAATTCAGTTGTGAATAAAGATAATTTCAGAGGAAATATGTAGGTCATTATGAAATGTTTTAGATACGTGCAGACATTAACTGGCAGCAAAAAAATTAATGGTTAGGTTTGGAAATATGAACTATTTTAGCCTAGCAGATGATTTTTTACTTAGTTTAGCATAGAATAAATTTTGGGCAAAAGGAAAAAAGGAGTTGATTGGAGAACATTATCATGCTATGATTTTAAAATAAGATTAAAAGAAGAATGTGTTCAATGTCTACAGTTAGCATTTGGAGAAGTTCCATCTAGTGCTACTGAATTCAGATTAGTGTAGGATTTCCGTACAAGTTACACAAGCTATAGCTTAGGCCCCCACTTTCTTGGGGGGGGGGACAAAAAACCCTCCAGGTATCCGAAAATCATATTTGGCACTAACATATAATATCTGGACTTATTAAGGGCCCCATATCTCAAATGACTTAGGGCCTTATCAAGTCTAAATACAGCCCTGATTCAGATGGTTTAACACAGAAAATGTTAATCAATGATAATCACTTTACCTACATAATAATCCAGAAGGAACTTAACACTAGATCTGCCCCATACATAAAATTATTCATGAAGAACTTTGTATGAAAAAATGTTAAAAATATATTTCAAAGTGCCCCTTGGCAGAAACTGGTGATTGGCTAGCAAAGCCCAATTTCAATATGACTGCTACACAAAACTAAAATAACAAGTTAAAAAATTGCACAAACTCGGTGTCCATGTACACATCAATCTATTTTCACTTAAAAAAAAAAAAAAAAAAAAAAAAAAAAAACCCAGAGAATTGCACAAACTCGGCATTGTGCACTCCCTTGACTTTCTCCATGTACACATTGATCTATTTTCACTTCAAAAAAGTATCAGGAGAATGATGACATCATATAATGTTAAAAAAAAGTTACCATTTTCTGATGTTCCAATATGTCAAGAGAGTAAAGTATGGGTCTTAAAGATAATCCCATGCCCACAATGGGGGGAAGACAATGTGGCACAAAAAAAGTAATGCATGCTGTTTTCTTGAGAAGTACTGGAATGGTCAACACTATCAAGCTGAAAGGACAGAAGACAGTCACAGCTACTGGTACACCACAAAGTGTTTTCCAGAAATTCTTCAAAAAGTGAATGTTAGAGGATTCATGCTCTAACATTACAATGCACCTTCTCATTCAGCAAAATTGACAGTTGAGTTCCTTGAACAAAAACACATCAAAGTGATAGAACATCCACTCTATTCACCTAATCTAGCTATGTGTGATTTTTAACTATTTATTAATCTAGAAAAAGAATTTATGTGGACATAATTTAATCTGACAATGAGATTGATGAAGCAATAAATGCACTTTTTCATCGACATCGAGAAATGAATAGCTCGAAGCATTTAATCTTTAAAAAATTCACCTATAAAAGTGCATTTATTGATGGAGGACTTCTAAAATTTCTTATGCATAACTTTAAAAACCTATCTGTACCTCAAAAATTTCAGCAACCTTTGTTCATCCATAAAGAGGTCACTGCTATTCCTATCTTTTGAAGAACAAATAAGCATTGATGAATTTTTGTCAAAGTATGTCACCACTTAAATATGTAAATCTCTTTACATATACAAGGCATTATATTAATGAGGTAGTAGATGAGATTTAGAAGAATTTTTTACCCACTTCAAGAACTGAAAATGTATAAATGAGGATGTGGTCTAGCACAATGCATCTCAAAAAAGCTTTATCAGTTTTAAATCCCTAAAGCATGCCTCTATATGCTTTATTGTTTCTCTTCAAACATTTGATTCATATGCAGCACTTGATTAGGCTGGCAAATGTAATACCTATAAAGAGAGCTAAACTGGTGATAGCAAAAATATCAATCATGACAAAAGGTTTAAAAATGTCATTCCTAAGTTTCAACTGATATATAATCAGTGTACCTATCCAAGTTTATCCTTGCCCAAATAAACACACTGCCCTCCAGTGAAATGTAGGTTTTCTTGGACATGTGCCGAATTACATAGGATGAACATTCATTCTAGATCAGAAGTTATTGATTATCTGTAGATAGAATATTAGTGGACTTATCGCAGGAGAAAACTGGCTCCATTCAGCAGCTTCCCCATCAAAGTATTCTGAAGCTTCTTTCAGTTCCACATGTTGGGAGTTTAGAACACAAAAAAATGGTTTATATGCATATAATCCACATGACTAAAGGCATCTATGAACTATTTTTTCAATACTTTTATTCCAGTTCACATTAAAATTTGTCTTTGTGTTTTGATTGCTGTTTTGACACCTGCTCCAAAGACACCTATTGCCCTGTGAGATGACACTTATCAACATGTTAAAGACAATACGTCACCAAGATCTTGACAAGGTCCTTTTTTTTAACACTTTCCATCTCTTGAAACAAAGTCCACAAACATGCAGTTACACTTCAGCTCACTCCAGAGGTGAACACTATGATCTGACTTTGTCAGTTTTTAACTTTCCTAAGATCTGAAGCACAATACTTCGAGAGAAATTATGCTATTTAACATTCTCACATGAGCTAGATGCTAGAAACTGCTTTTCTCTTCATAAGTGGCATCAGAATGCAGTTTTTTTTTTAAGTGTTCCACTTAATGTGCATTTGTATTAATATAAACTTTCATATCATTGCTGCTAATTTACATTTTAAACTGCTTCCTAAATTCATTACTTGTATGGATCTTTTGACAATTCAATAATATTTTACTCAACAGCTTAGAATAAAATAGTTTGACAAGGGTGCTCCTTTATTTTTGTTCACCCCTATATTTCATTTTTAAGTACTAAAAGATATGTTTAACTAAAAAGGGGGCATGAAAAACTTTTAATTCATTTAAGTAAATGTTTAATTTCATTTTAAGTAAAATTTAGAATCCATATATACATCATAAAATTGGGTTATATAAGCTGCAAGTTCTTTTCACATATGTATTTTTAATACGCTTTTAATCTGTTCCTTTAGTTATTTTGATGAATATATGCTAAAATAAAATGAAAAAAATTAATTGTATAATTTGTTTTTTCTGAAAATACAAATTCTGATTTTCTAGATTTTAAAAGGTTTCCTTGCATTTGTGAATAAAAATATAAACATAAACACACTATTGAAAAGTTCTTGAAGGCAGCAGAAAATACAGTAGAGAATGAAAATTTGAATGAAATATTAGATTAAAAGCACTAATTGCAGGCTTGGAAATATAGAGATCTTTGTACCAAATTACTTAGGCCCAAATTTTGCCAATGCCATTTTATCTCACCAAAGCTGCTACATAAGGCAAGTATCGCATATGTTTTGCTCTGCAGGTTCTATTACAGCTCCAAACATCAAAACTCTTTTCAACACTACAAACAATTCAAATTTTAATTTTGAAAAGATAGCTGCGATAACAGCCTGCAAAAGTATAATAAGTTTGATCAAGTTAGAAGGTTAAGGTAGTGCACACTTTATTATGTCAACTTAAATTCTTCAGAATCGAATTCTTTCTGTTGTCCCCCCCCCCAACTATGCCAACAAAAGAAAAACCACATGAGCAGCATTCCTTACAAACAAATATGTCTTGGTGTTTCACTTAATATTTAGGTCAGACAGAAAAATATTAACATCTCACTACCTACTCAAGGACTGGTTGTGGATAACATCAATTAAATCATTGTCACTGACCATGGAAAGACACCCTAGCCAGTAAGTGTTTGAGAAAAACTGCTTTTACAGCATAACCTTTTTTTTAATCAATTTTTTTTTTTTTTTATTATACTCTCAAATTCTAGAACTTTGTTAAAAAAAACTTGCTGATGGTCTGTAGGTTTAGATATTGGATACCTTCAACAGGGCCGTTGCTAGTGGGGAGTGCAGCGGGCAAAAGTACTCAATCAAAGGAATCATTATATGAAAATCAGAGGAAGCTAAATCCCACAACTAAATATTTTAAATTCATTGTAAGTACTTGTCATATGTACATACTTTTTATACAATTTGTCATATGTAAGTACTTAGTGAATATGAAACTAAAGATTTTATTAATCATTGAGCACTTTTTTTAATTTTGGGTGCAGCAATTCTAGGAAAGTAAGCGGGCAGCCGATGGCCTAGGAACGGCCCTGCCTTTCAGAATATCAAACCTCTGGATTTTGGACTTTATTTCTATAGCATGGTGATTTACTTCCTTAGAAATTCTTTTATACTGGATCAAATGGGCAAATAACAAGAGGGAATGAAAATAAACAAGGCAGATACTCAATTTCACGTACTTGTATAGACTGCAAAAAGCAGTATCATGTTTTGCATGCAAAAAGCTATTTATAAAGCCATAAGCTCATAAATAAGAATGACAATTTAAAAAATAAGAAAAAAGTTCTTGTGGGAATATAGTTCATAAAAGTGTTTAAACTGGTGGAATGTAGAAACAACAGTCTGCTATATGTTATTATATTACTAATCATTTTAATAAATACAGCAGCAGCACTTGAGCCAATGCCCGGCAGTGGAGGTCTTGCAACCAGTGTAACCCCATTGGGTTGCAGAATTCAGGGATGGCAAAATATTTACAATTATAGAAGGAATCGGGCAACAGAATTTCGGATTTGTGGAGTCTGCACCAGGTGGCGAAAAGTCTAGTGCCAAGCTTGCTGGGACAATCAGTGTGGTTGCATTGATCAATGGAATTCAAAGATGGCAAAATTTTCAGAATTTAAGGATGCACTAGCAGAAGAAATTAGAAGCTGCATAGATTTCATCAGGTGACATGAAATCTAGCACTTGTCCTACAAATGAAAAATTATCCAAAAACTACATCGGCATACTTCATAGGTTTATGTTTTTGCATGCTTAAATCCCAAAATTTGTCTACAGATTATTACTTAATTATTGATATCTTCATCAACAGAGATGGATGAGATATGAAAAAAGAGCAGAATACCATAATTTGTTACTTAGTTTTTACATTTTGCTGTTTTATTAAACTGAACTGCAAAACAATAACAGAATGCAGGTAAATAATTTAATTCAAAAATAATTCACTTTCAGGCTTCAATTCAATTTTTCCATTTTAGAAAAAGAAATTACTTTTATTAATTTACATAATTCATTAGAATAAATTTCAAATAAAATCAGATTAAATGTTTGAGGAAGCCATAAATTTTGAATTCTATAGGTAATAACAATAAGACATTCAAGCCCTCCTTATACATTCTGATTATCTACAAAAAAATTATGTTGATTAAATGCTAAGGATATTTTTCATCCCATTTTACCTCTCTGGAGAACAATTAATAGTTGTTTAGAGATAAATTTTCCTCATAAAAACCACTTAGTTTTTCAAAATAATGACAAATTATATTATTGAATAAATCAAAATTATACCATAAGGGATTTAGAATTTTTACAATAGTAAACTGCATTGCCATTTATACCAAAATCAGGTAATGCCACTTACACCAAACATTAATTACATATAGTATAACTCACCTCAGAACAAATGGATTCTCCCTTATTATTTTGTGTACTTGTGTTGTAAAAGAACTACCATTAACTTGTGGAAAAAAAAACCTACCATTAGTTGGCAATGGGGACATTAGATTGGGAAGTAGTTTAATATTATAGCTCAGTTTCCAAAAATTAATTTTCTACAGAAGTTCTTAAAACTTTAATTTAAAACTAAAAAGATATTATTTTTTCTGCAAATTCAGTCATATTAGAGAAAGAACTGATACTAACCTCTTCATGATGATCAATAGGATCTATATTATATAATTTATGCTTTACATCAGAAAATTGGCACACTTGGACAGTAAAAATCTCAGGCTGCAATGAAAAGTGACATAAAACTACTTTAATTTACAATTATTTCTAGCAATTATCACATTCTAAGAATACAGTTAGAATAAAAATTATTCATCAGTGAGATTATAGATAATTTTGAACTTCAAAAACTATTTTATTACATTATCTATAAAAATATAAATATGCATGCTAAAAGTTTAAAGATTCTGAACAGAATAAACTGCAATTCTATTAACAAGGGTAAGATTTAGAGCGTCAATTTTTTTAATGCTGTACAAATTAAAAATTATAACTCACTTAACATTTAGGGGATGGAAAGAAAATTATATATAATACAATTAAAAGATATATAGATATCTTTGAAATGCATTAAAAATTTAATATTTTGCTACTAATAATCGATCTGAAAATTCTTAATTTTTAAAAAAACAGTTCTATACAACATATATTTCGCACGCTCCTTTGTTAATATCTATTCTTTAATAAATTCTAAATAACTTTTTTAATGACGATATTGCTAAAAGAAAGTTTTGCATGGTAAAACGGACTACAATAGTAAATGATTTTATACGATAACACATTGTAGTAATCAGATTAAAAATTTGAACTCATATTATCTTCTCGTTTAGAAATTACATTTTAAATAATTTTGATTGGATTACAGACCTTAAATAATTTAGCACTGATAGCTGAATTCCACGTTTTCGATTTAGAGGAAAATATCAATTTAGTTGGCAATTTAGAATTAAAAATTAATGGACAACTGCGAGTACAAGCCATGCTTCTAATCCACGACACAGCACTCAGTTTGTTTACATTCCTAAACTCTTATCTTCAATTCGCCAATCGTGCTTGCGATGGTACTTTTGGAATATGAACATTTATTTTCAATTTTTTTATATAATTATTGTGTCTTTTTTCGTAAAAGTACAGTAATTTGTTATTTTCTTTAATGGTAGCAAATTACAGTTTAAGAAGTGTCAGAGTAAATAATAAATTGGTAGTAAAAATATTGGCGAGAGATAGTATATTTAGGCGATACCGTCATCAACATGCAACCCTGCGTCCATACAACTACTGAGTCACCAGCCGGTCAACATTGGCACACGTAAATCTGGCCTGCTTTTATAAACGTAGATGGAGTTTTTATATATAAAATTTTTGTTCGTTTTTGTAAATTTTCTTGGTGAGAATTTATAATTAATTATAATGTTCAATATTTTCTTTCCTACTTTTAAAATTATGTATGCTGTCAGAATTTTTTCACCAGCAGCCAGAAACTTTGACGTTTCAATATGAGTGCCGTCAATGTTGGCATTATTGTTGAAATATTTACATTATTCTTCACAGAGCAGTAAGAATTAGATTCGCGAAAAAACACTGGTACTAACTAATAGGTGCTTGAAAGGTACTCCAAACTGTATCTTGTAGTTTTTAATGATATTAAAGAGGCGTTATGTTTACTAAAAATTTAATGATAGCTTAGGCGATAGGCTTAAGCTAATCAAAATATACTATGTTCATTTTACGACATTTATTATTTTATTTTAGAATTTTGAACAATTTAATATTAAAAGATATTATTTAAACATAATTTGAAGGTTTATTTTTTATTTGCTATATGTTTTGACATCTGCGGACGTTTAATAATAAGTTGATCATAGTTGCCATCAGTTTTAGTAGTAGTATATTATTTTCTTAATATGTCAAATGAATCTTATGTCTTTAATAGTTATATTTGTTGCAGACTTTTGATATTTTATCGTTAATTTATAGCACATTTTGTTTCTTTTATTATAGATATTTGATAACTCGAAACTGGCTCTTTAATCTCGTCATCTCTACCAGTTTACCTTCTTTTTTTGAGATACTATGATACTTCGTGCGCTAATAGATTCGGTTTCATTTCATGTTATATAGTGATAAAATTTGATTACTAAATTGATTAACGTATTTACTACGTTCTTAAATTTAAGTTTTAAGAAATATTACTGTGTAATCTGATTATTTATATCCATCTGACTAATTCCTTCCCATTACGTATATTACGTTCAAGGAAAAACTGTACCTCTAAATCATTTTTCAAAAACAAACACGATTCTTATTTTTTAAAACAAAGCCATCCTTTAACAACATGCGTAAGTTCTGTTACATTAGTGCTTACATTTTTTTTTTGTTTGTTTATTTTGAAACACGGGAATGAGATCTTCAGAAAATGAAAACTAGTCTAGTGTTTTAATTTTTTTGAAGTTAAATATATTTATTGTTTTATTTTTTTTAAAACTGGTATGAATTTATCAGAGATTTGTTTCTATTAAGCTTAAATTCTGCGTAATTACTTCTTTCAGAATTTTCTTTTACAAATATTTAATATTATTTCCCATTTTGAATCTTCAACTTTTACTTGCAACTTCACTTTTACAGTAGTCAATTTCATACAATAGTTGAAGTGATCTCTAAAACCTATGTAAATGTTACTACTGTTTTTCCATAATCCTGTGTGCATATTTCTAAGAGATATTGATTTTAAAAATATATTGCATAAATAATTATATGTAAAGTTGAAACAATTCATGATTCTTTGTTTTATGTAATATTCCTAATTAAGTTGTGTAGGTTGTTCTGTACTAAATTTATGCAAAATAATATTTCATAAAGAAGATAGGAAAATAATAATTTCTCCCATTTGTTTGTTTGCTTACAGTTTCATTAATGGTAACTTTATTCAGAACATTTTTTTAAAATAAAATCTGGTCTGCACAAATTAACATTAATAATTCAGTGAAGAAATCACAAGTGTGGAGCATAACGTTCCCTTTTTAGGCAAACATAATTGGTATTTATGATATCTATAATGTGCTTCAAGTTTTTGTTTTTGTTTAGTGTATAGTACACAATATATATCATTTCTATGTCACAGTAAAATATTTTAGCAATCATTATTTCTTTGAATAATTCTGATTTCTGAAATTATTGAATTTTAGGCTCTTGCCTTGTTTATTTATTTTTTTACAAGCTCAAAATTTTATCATAATATTTTTTAGATCTGCATTAATATATTTATATTTACATGCTTTGTTAACCTTTAATGTAATGTTAGCCCACATAATATTGAACACATTTTAAATACAATACTGAACAAATTTAAATTACATATATGATCATGTTTTTTTAATTTATATTATTTAGTTCAGTTATTTTAGCCATCAAAATAAGTTTTATCCAGAAAATTACAACTCTTAAAAAATATACTTGAAAGATTATTTAGGAACATCAAATGCTACTAAATTATGTTTCCAGTCTCACTTTGTTTTAAATGAGCAAGTTAAATCATGTCATATATTTTATGAAGCTTTTATAATTTGGCAAAAGAAAATTGTGATATTTAGAAGTTTTGAGTTACTTTTTTGCTGAAATGCCTGCTATAATTAGTTGTTAAAATTAGTAAACTTAATTGTCAAATTTAAAACTTGCAGCTTTTTTAATTCTTAAATAACCAATCTATTCCAGTGGCTGTTTGTTTTAGATAAAATTTCAACATATGATTATTTTATTATTTTAAACACTTGTAGGCTCAAAAATAAATGAATGTTTTTCGTTTCTTTCTTTTCTTTTTTTAAAATAGTATTTGATTTCGCTGAAAATATCTGAAGACACTTAGGCCCCATGCACTTGAATAACTGTTTACTCGATTTGGCATCGAGGTAATGAAATGTTGGAGTCATTGTGAGGTTATACCAATACACTTCTATGACTGTTCCTAATACAGCCCTTTTAGTTAGAGTAGACTAAAGGGTATCCCTTGTATTATCGTGAAGTTGTTGTTTCATTTATCATAAGTTGTTGTTTTCTTTATTGCCAAGTTGTTGTATCATTTATGGTAATCTGAGTAGTTGAATGTTCTGTAAATATACTTCTTACCTAGAATTGGGTGCTCCTTTGACTTTTTAAGTGAAACTATAAGGGTTGCCCAAATGAAAAGTGTGGACAAGTTGAAGAAAAATAATACCTTTATTGTAAATCAAAAGAAATCGCCATGGTCCTTGAAATACAGGTCCCAGCGTTGCAGCAGCAGCTCGATTGATGCCTTTGCTGTAGAAAGATTGGGGCTGATTCCTGAGGAAGTCCTGCACGGCTTCCTTTACTCCATCGTCCGAATAAAAATGTTTTCCATGTAAGGCTCTCTTAAATGACTAAAAGATGTGAAAGTCACAGAGTGACATGTCCGGACTGTACAGGGGGTGCTCCAAAACCTCCCTATGGAATGTGTTTAAGGTCCTCTGGGTTTCCTGGGAGACGTGTGGGTGGGCATCGTCATGCAGAAGGATCGCTCATGTGAGAAGGCCCGGCCATTTGTTTTTTATTGCTTGTCACAGTTTCATCAGAGTACTACAGTATTGTGCGGAATTGATAGTGCTCCCTTGGGGCAGGAACTCTATTAAAAGTGGTCCACGACAATCGAAGAAAAATGAAAGCATCTTTTTCCATGTAGTTATCGTTGCTTTTGATTTCTGTTTTGGAGGAGATGAGCTGTGTTTCCATTGCATACTCATTTTCCTGGATTCGGCTGTGTAGTGTGGCACCAGGTCTCTTCTTCTGCAACGACACAATCCAGAAATGCGGGATTCTCCTCATAATGGATCAAGTGCTGGAGACAGAAGCCCATTCGTCGTTTCTCATGATCAAGGGTCAGGTGTTTTGGTACCCATACTGCACACACTTTGCTGTACCCCAGATGTTTATTCCTTTACTTAGGTTGAATTTGTGACTGATTTCACGGGTCGTAACCCTTCGATTAGCTTGGATCATTTCATTAACGGAGGCAATGAAATCATTGGTGATCGCTTGTTTGTTTGGCCCAATCTTAGCAGATCCGATGTCGTTTGCCGCCCATCACAGAAACATTTACACCATTTGTTTACAGCCGTACGACCTAAACAGTGGTTGCCATACACTGTCACCATTCTTCGATAGATGTCCGCATTACGCTCACCTTTCGCAACCAGAAACCGTACGATCTGGACGCATCCATGGATAGCACAACTTTCCTTTCGCACAATTTAATCTCTTACAAACAGGTTTCACGGTTACACGTCATCCGAGATGCATACATCATACCGCCCTTTATATACTTGTGCAGTGGCGCTGCTATCGATGCATTCATTCTGACATTTCCGCACACGTCCACTTTTCATTTGGACAACCCTCATGTATCGACGTGTACCATAACAAATTCAAGGGAGTGGGCAATGCCAAGTTTGTGCAATTCTCCAATTTTTTTTTTTTTAAGTGAAAATAGGTCAAAATGTACATGGATAAAGCCAAGGGAGTGTGCAATTCCTAGTTTGTACAATCCTGCGATTTTTTTAAGTGAAAATAGGTCAATATTTACGTGAATACTGAATTTGTGTAATTCCATGCTACACAAATACAAAATAACAAGTCAAAGAATTGCACAAAGTCAGTATCCATGTACCGCCAAAAATCGACAATTTTTGCCAAAGGGGTAGGTACCTGTAAATATATTTTTACCATTCTTTTTGTTGAATATCTGTGCAAGGTATTTAGTAAAATCTCTGCCATGATTCAATTGCACAATCTCATGACCACAGCCGCTTCTTCAATGCCCATTTTCTACATGAATGGCAGTTTTCCCATGATATTGTGCACTTCCATTGAGGTGGAGCATTTTATGGGAGGCGTTAGAGCCGAACCTAGTGTCATTGGACAGAGCAATCCCTGTACGGTGATCTCAGTAGCAATCAAAGTAACATGTCTGTGGGGTTGCTATAGTGATCTATGGACATGATCAGCTTGTACGTACGGAACAATTTGTCGAACTGAATTTAGCACAGAACAACTACAGATGCAATGCATTATCCAGGTACACTGCTAAAAAAAAAAAAAAAATGGGACAGTGCTATATCTCCTGTTCTACTGGGCCGATTGACAAAATTCAAACTGCGTTTTTCATGTCTCGAATGGCGACTTAGGATATATTAGATATATATAGCGCTACTCTAACATAGGTATTTTGACACAAATCGGACTT